CAAACCTCAGGCTGAGTTTGCCATGCTGAAGCAATATGGGCCTGATATTCCTGATGCAATCCTCCAGAAACTGGTGGCTGCATTCGGAGAGCTCCGGGCCATGGCTGACCAGGGAACAATCACCTACCCCTACTCTACAGGAGAAGTGGTCAACATCGTGAAACACCTGCTGGTAGTCTTAACCTCAGATGCCACACATATAGTCCATATATATAATGCATACTTGCTGAAGAAAATCTTACTGTCCCTGAACTTTAACGGAAGTGTATTTCAGATGAACGGTAGTTGTAAAACAAAACAAACCTTTGTTGGTCATTTTTCGCCATTCAGTCTCTTCCTGTATAAAGGGGACTGACCATGTCTAGAATAAGCTGCAAAGTGGCTTGCGGCATAAAGTCTGGTCAAATCCCCACAATACATTAAACCTCTTGGTTTTAGGATGTTCCCTCTTTTAAGAATTCAGACATCGTTTCGGTGATGAACTGCGTGTTGTGTGATAGACGAGGGTGAGTAACACTATGTCTGAGATGAAAGGTTCCGCATGAGAGAGAGAGAGAGTGAGGAGTCTCTTCACCCGGCCCACTGATCTGACCCATGGAGGCCACACTGCCATTCTGGACCACCTGTCTCTGGGCTTTAACTCTTCTTTCTCTCTCTCTCTCTCACACACACACACACACACAACGTACCAGCCTCCTCCTGTCGTCTCAGTGCTCAGGAGCGACAGAGATGCAGATAGATGTATGGAATCCGTCTGTCACATTGGATGAGGAGTCAGTTGTCAGATTAGTCTGCCACAAGCAGCCATCAGAGGTCTACAATCTCTGTCAAAAGTTTGGACTCGCGTGACCGAATTTGTTCCTTGAGATCTTATAAACCTTTTGTTCTAAAGGCCATTATGCTTAAAATTAGTTTTGTACACAAATAGAAATGGTCTACTTATGAATATCTAAACTACATTTTTTATTTAAAAACCTCAATGTCCAGAATGAGCAGAGCTACAATCTAGATGAAGAAGAACCTAAAATATAATTGAGTTTTTGGCATTAAATTATCAATTCTGAGCCCTGGCTGAATTATGTGACTCGGGTGTTGAGGAAAACTTGTAGAAAATTTGAACGAAAATGGAATAAAGACGGGTTACATATAT